AAATATTGCCTGCGGTTTCGGTTCCGTATAAACTAGCTAGGTGATTTATGCTGTAAACTGCATATTTAAAAACTGGCTGATGGCCAGTTGTCACAGAACAAGTTGTGACATATGCAGTAAATCACGTGCAACTGCTGATTTTTCGTGTTGCTCTCATTCACAGTAAACTGCTATTCTAGTGATGGACTGTTGGTGTTAGCAAGTCTGGTCTGTGATTGTATCGACTACTGTAGATTCTGAAATGAGGAGCGGCTTACTGTTGTACCTGGAATGATGGGCTGCAAGAGCCCAGGCTTTTTTTTTTATTCGCAAAGGGATGGACGTTTTTTTTTTTTTTTTTCTGTCTGCTAAAATAAACATCCTGATCAGCACAATTTGTGGCACAGTAAATAGCCACAGAGTTTACCTTCTTCTTTGGTCCTTCTGCTTATGCTGTAAAGCACTGCAGGGAAGAGTTAGATGTAGTTTCTTGTCTGTTGCTAGTTGGGAAGCATGAGTTAATGTCATTTTGCATTTAATTGCTTTAGTGTCTCTTTTGTCGGCTCTGTAGCCAAGTCGATGTGAACGCTTCGTAATGCCGGGGTGCCGGGTTCGATCGCAGCTGCGGGCCATGCGCCTTGCTTTGGTTTCGACAGTGGTATCGGAGAGCCGACCGTCCAGTGAGCAATGGCAAACTAGTGGACGTAAATTTGCCTAGAGAAACCACACAACACCAGGGGCTGCTGTGGTTGGTTCTGCAACGTCCTGTAAAGGATACGCAACTAACCAGTGTCTCTTTTACTTCGCAACCATTCTCTTTCTTGATCGACCTCTTGACTTGTACCCTGCTGTTCTTAAGTACTATACTCTAGCGACTGGCTGATGTTGTACCATTCTGAGTAGATGACCAAACCATTTCATTCGCTGGTGCTCTGTTAAATCACCTACCGGTGCTGTGCCCACTATCGTTCCTAGCTCTTCATTATTGACTCTTCTTGTATTTCCTGCTGCATTTCTTATACATTGATCTCACATGCTGTCATTTTGCATTTCTGTTTTTCTGGGACTGTCCATATCTGACATTGATAACACAAAGTACGAGCAAATGGTGCATTTATCAGCGGCCTTTTTGTGCACATGCTGATATTTGGATGCCTCAAAAGTAGCTCTGTTTGTTAGTAACGGGTAGTAACTATATGCTGCATAGACATTTGTGTGTATGTCTTATGTGTACTATACTCAGATCTATTCAACTGGCAGCACTCGGGCCAAAAGCTGGCTCAATATAGAAAGGCCTATCAAGTGGCCTGTGGTTCATTGCCACTTGTACTATATTACATATTTTTTGGTGTGTGTGTGCTCTGTGTCTGTGATGATCCCATATCTCAGAATTGTGGCCCTTGAGCAAACTTAGCTGAACAGCTCTGTTCTAGATGCAGTAGTCTAATAGTGTTAACATTCTGGTCTTGAGGCATGGCGTCAGCCTCAAGTGCTGGAGTCCCAGGTTCAGGCCCTGGTGATCACGTGGACTTCTCGAAATTTCCCCTGGTCTCTGTGTAGTCAGATCGGACGCCCGTGTTTATCGTTGGGCAGGTAAAAAATTCCTTGGCATTTGGAAATCAAAAAGAGTAGCCTAACGGCGCTACCCGGACAAAATTTGGGGGCTAAAAATCCACCCAGATGATTTCCAGCTCCTTGTCGGAACTACAGACCTCGTGCACTGTGCTGAGATTCTTAGGACTAGACTTGGTAGTTAGAAGTAGAACAGAGCATTTGTGGCTTACTAAACGTGTGCCACGATGTTGTTTTGTTTCTCAATCAAACCTTAACCATATATAATGTAGCTTTAGTTACCTCATTTTCTTTCTTTTTTTTTTCTAGTAATTTTGCGTTACTAAAGATTCATTATATGCAATTACGTATTCATTTACAACAATTCTAACAGGTTTTGCCGGAACACCTGGTTACCTTTCGCCTGAAGTCCTTAGGAAAGATCCGTATGGAAAGCCTGTTGATATCTGGGCTTGTGGTACGTAAGGTTTTGTGAGTAGCCAAGATAACAATAATAGCTTATGAGATTTAACTCCTTAAAAGTTTAAACTGGGTGTTTAGAAACTGCACTCTTGGTTTGCCATCTAGAATGTCACCCTAGAAGCTGCAGGGGTGGTGAAATCTTCAAGCAGCAACTCTTCAGAAAAATAAATGGACACTTTGGCCAGTGAGGGTCTGTCTCATTATCCCCAGTTAATGTGCCTTAGAGCAAATAAATAGCAGTGATGATTTACTTAGCCTTGTCATTTCTGTTCTGGAAGATAGAAGTTATTTTGAGAGAATTGAGAGTTTTAACTATAACTTGTAATTGTATTAACTGTGTATGTAGTACAGTGTGCTAATAAAAGTATAAAAACACTGCAACAGCAAATTTAGTTAAGTTTTTACCCCTTCAGATTTGCATGAGATTTGCATTTTTTTAAGATGAACATCTCAAAGAGTACAGGACAATCAAACAGCTACAAATCCCAGAAACACCATTCAGCCATATAGCACAATTATGTCGGGGCACAACAGAAGAGTTAGGAAGTAACTTGTAGTCCAGGGTGGGGGGTGAGAAGCTTGTCAATCGTGTGACAGAAAATGATTGTCCTTCCCCCATCTTTCTGTGGAACAGTGTAACACCATTCTTTTGAAAGACAGACAAATGCTAACAGCAGAGGACTTAAGGGTTATGGGTTCTGGTCCTGACAAAGCTCGACCTTTTTTTAAAAATGACCTTGGTTGAACTAGCCCTAACTTTACCCATAAGGTAAAGTCATGGGAAGTAAGGGCCACTGGCGTGCTGACTGGTCTATAAAATGTAGGTCTAGCCCTATATGCCCAACACACCTGAAGGCACGGAAAAGGGTCCTTTACTTTATTAATTTTTCTTTAAGGTTTTTTTTTTTCGTTTTTGCAATATGTATTTTAAATGTATTATTAATTTACCTTATAACAATTATAGAAAATACAAATTTGTTTGGTTTTCTTTATTTAATATGTTTTTCATTTTTCTTCTATACAGGAGTTGTGTTGTACATTCTTCTTGTTGGTTATCCCCCTTTCTGGGATGAAGACCAACACCGACTATATGCTCAAATCAAGGCAGGAGCATATGATGTATGTACATTATCTACATATAGCTTTTATAGTTTTGCTGTCAAGTTTGTTTAGAACACACTGGCTGTGTGTTCATTTGATCATGTGTCTGCAATGGAACATCATTAGGATATGTTTAGCCATCAGATTTCTACATCAATTGTTTCACTAAAAATATTCAGTTCTGCATATATATATATATAATCATGTCTACACTGGTTTTATCACTAGAAATGTAGAAATGCTTAGGTAGTGTCTGTCTAGTACATTACAAGAAATATTTAGTTATCACATGTCTACACTGGTACATCACTAGAGGTGTTTATTTCTCACGTCCAAACTGGTACATCACTAGAAATGTTTAGTTATTATATGTCTACACTGGTACATTACCAGAAATATTTAGTAATATCCTGTCCAGAGGGGTACACCATTAGGTGTTTATTTATCACATGTCTACACTGGCACATCACTGGAAATGTTTATTTATCACATGTTACACTGGTATATCACTAGAAATGTTTAGTTATCACATGTCTACACTGGTACATGGCTAACATTGATTAATTGTCAATTTTTTTTGTCATTTATTTGTACTTGACATGTCTTCTAGTAGTTTTAGCCCAGTTGCTACTACAGTATTGTATTTTAACTCGTCAGCTTAATCAAAATTATAACTCTCAGCCTAATTTGATGCACTACTCTTGATTGGTTATATTCATTTTCTTTCAAAATGTTCTAGTACTGTCTTTCAGCCCTAACTCAGACTGCTATCTTTTCTTCTTCTTAGTATAGTCTATGCTATGTAGCATTGGTAGTCATGTCTATCCACAACCTTCTGTCTTGTGTACATTTCTCACGCAAATGATCCTTCATGCCATGATGTCAGACTTTTCAGCATCTTCTCTCTTGGTCTCTCTCTGCCGCTTTTCTCCTCTATTTTTCCCACTGTCATGATGTACTCTAGTTTTCTCTTTCTCATGACATGACCAGAGAATATAAAAATGTTTTTTTCTCATGTGTGTGATCCGTTCTGTTATGTTAATTTATTTCAAGACATCTTTATTTTTTTTTTTTTATCTAGCCATTTTGTTCTTAGCATTTGATAATAAAACCACATCTCTGCCACTTAAACACAATGTTTCATCGATTACTTTTCACTAAACTGTCCATGATTTACCTCTGTTTATCAAGATTATAATTATACAGCTCTGTGGAACTCTCCAGCTCACAACTCGTCTCACAGGAAACTAGCCATAAAATCCAATCATAAATAAGTCTAGAAGCTGCTATGGCCTAGCAGCTACATGCTCATCTGCACAACTGAAAGTCATGGGTTCAGGTCCTGACAGCTTGTTTGTTATATATGACATGGCTACCAGCACAACCCAGCCTTAAGTGTGTAACCCACTTACAGTAGCCAGCCTGTAGTTTATACGTAAAGGCGGCCAGCATGGTATTGACCAGATTACCCACCCACTGCCAATTGGTCCCCTCATACCGTAATGATCCATCTGTGCCTCTGCACTGTTAACTCACCCCGAAAAATGCCCTTTCAACATCTAGCTTGTCATTCTTAAGCTCACCACCAAGTTGTGCAGAAGCAGCTAGTCTATTTGCATGTTCATTTCCTAATACACCGGCATTCCCTGGAGAAAATTTTCAAAGGACGCTAACTACCACTGTCCAGACACGGATGACCAACCAGGACTTCCTACAAGATTTGACAGCTGGTGAATACATCACAAATGGTGTGATTGTATCAAAACAGTTTTTATTTTTATTTTACACATTATGGAGTTATTGTGTTTCCTTATCTTCCTTGTACACAGTATCCATCCCCTGAGTGGGACACAGTCACACCAGAGGCTAAAAATCTCATCAACAGTATGCTGTCTGTCAACCCTGCCAAGAGAATCAACGCTGCAGAAGCTCTCAAACATCCATGGATCTGTGTAAGGCAGATGTTTCTCGGTGTTGACTCATTCAGCTTTACTTTCTGCCATTACTGCCTGTATTCATCTCTTTTATGGTGTATGATTTAGAGCTAGGGCTGTTACCTTGACAGCCCAAATTAGGATTTTATTTTTGCCCCTGAAAGAAAATAATCTTTTTTTTTTTTGTAAGCTAATATATTTTGTATGGATCGGTATAGATGGTATGTCAGATAACTGTAAAGTATTGTTTCTTTTAATATTTCATCGGAAATAAGCAAATTGTGTTATAATGTAATGCAGAATGTAAAGCATTATTTGTGTGATGTGATATATTTTATGGAGAAATACATAAATTTTTCTAAAGTATTGTGTGTGGAATGTATCATATTTCATGGAAAATGGGCAATTAATTGTAAAGCACTGTATGTGGTATCTGTAAATTTTATGGAAAATGAGGAGTCTTTTAAAATTCTAAAAGGACCTAGGAAAAATTGCAGATAAATGGGGAGAAATTAAATGTTAGGCAACATTTTGAGAATTGAGACCTTTGAAAAAAAATATAACTGTATTGAGTGAAAGTCAAGAAGAAGATAGGCAGTGATGTGTTTGAAAGTACTATCTATAGCTGGATGAAGAACAGTTCATGAAGAGTGTGTCACAAGATCAAAGAACAGGAGGGAGATCTATTCTGGCTAAACTTTATTAGGAAAATAAGATTGTGTCATCATCAGCTCTTTACCAAATATCACTCTAGCCATTGCAAATCTCTGAAAGTCTTTCTTTCTCTTCCAGTTTTCATAGGCAGTGAATTTTAAATCTTGTATCCACCTTCATAGAGGTCTGTTCCTGCCTCATTTTTCAGAAACTCTACACACCATCACGGGTTTCTCTCCAGGCCACCATATTGTTTAACAAGGCCAAAATACCTCACCTTTCAAAACTGGATGCTGTTTACGAGCCAATTTTCTTTGATGCTCAGATCTTGAGGGATGTCAGTGTTTTTTCGTCTTCTTGGTCTATTATATTCTAAGACATTTTCTCATCATTTCAGCCCAAAGCTCTGATTTGTTGTTGCTTGAGTTAAAATGATCTAGAACTAGAAAATGTTTACACTGAATTGAGAGCAATACAATGATTAGATAGAACCAGCTTTGTGTTCGGTTTACATACACAGTCAAGTCATTTTTATAAACAATGAATCAGTTTAGTCTTATCATTTCTAAATTTTGTGTTCACTCTTTACAAAATTCACATAAATAAACAGAGGGGAACCCTTGAGGCTGTAGAAACATTAAATATAATAATAAACAGACAGTGTATTGATGGCATTCATAGAAAGAAGTAGAAAGATAGATGGACAAACTAGACAACATAAAAATCAAAAGCTGTATTTACAGTGCCAGGAATCGAACTGGTCACCTCCATATGGCGTGAGCACCTTGCTGGGGAAACTTCAACATACTTCTTTTCTGCAAGGGTTGTATATTTGGCCCTTGTGGAATTAGTATATCCATTTCTTTAGTATTGCCATTGGACATTAGCTAGGGTCTTGTTTAACTGAAAGAGTTCATCAAGTATAGGTCTACATACATAACGTATCAAGTATTAATCAAGTATAGCTCTATATGTTTATATAGAAGCAGTCTTGAATATCACAGTCTAGTAAATATTCTTCATATGGTTTCATATTAATGATCTCATTAAGTGTGGATGACATATTAAGTGTTATTTTCTTTCATATCAATTGGCATTCTGGTGTCATATTAAGTGTAAATCCATTTTTTATGTTATGTGCCATTCTAGTTTTATATTATTACAGTGACCAGACCTGTCAAATGTTTTATATTTCAGCAAAGAGAACGTGTTGCTTCTGTTGTGCACAGACAAGAGACTGTGGACTGCCTGAAAAAGTTTAATGCCAGAAGAAAGCTCAAGGTTCGGTACAATTATATTTGTTCATGTTTACCACTTTCTCCATGCCTTAATTATTTGAGCCATTGCATACACAAAAGTATGATCATAACTTTATTTGCAGCATTTGTAGACCAGGAGAAAGCTTTCAACAGGGTCGATAGGCTAAAAATGATGTAAGGTAATGGCTTGATATGGAGTACGTTAACACCTCATTGAAGTTTTCAAAAGCTAATATAGTGATTGTAGAAGCGTAGTTAGAAGAAATCAGGGAACATCTAAACCATTTAAAGTAACATCTGGAGTAAGACAGGGATGTGTCTTATCACCACCTCTGTTTATTACTTACATTGACAGTATAAGAAGGATGCCAGGCACAGGAACGAAAATAATAGTAACATCAACGAATTACTCTTCGCTGATGACCAGGCATTGACTGCAGATACAGCCTTGAATCTGCAACAGCATCTCACATACATGAATGAAGAATGTAAATCGAATAATATGAGAATCAACATTAAAATGACAGAAGTAATGTCAATAGGAAGAAAGGATCAGGATTTAAACATAGCATTAGAGCATACATGTATTAGAGAGACATCTGAATTTAAATATCTTGGAAAAACATTTACTGAAGATGGTAAACTAGATGAGGAAATTGACATTCGATGCAGTAAAGCTGGCCAAGTGTTGGGACAGCTAGCCATCCACCACAGCAGAAGGGAGTCCCAATCAGCACAAAGAGACATCTCATACAAAGAATATTCTTTCACATCTACCAGTGCCAGAGATGATCACTCACAACAAAACATAAAAGAAAATTAGTAACCATGGAAATGAGGTGTGACCAGAAGAGATAAAATCAGGAATGAGATCATACGAGATAAAGTCGGCACAGAACCAATTCTAAATTACATACAAAGACAGCAAAGCAGATGATTTGCCTACTTGGAGAGAATGCATTCTGATGCTATACCATACAAGGCATTTACCAAAAGAGGAGAGGGACGAGGAGTAAGAGGTAGACCAAGAACAAGATGGAAAGATAACAACTCCCAAACTCTAGAGCACCATGATGTGTCAGTGGTCAAAGCAGCCAGAAGGGCACGAAGCAGGACCTTTATCTCCCTCAACACCCAAAGCGGTAAATGAGGACGTAAAGAAAGAAAACAAAGCATACCCAAAAAACATTTTTTTTTTCTGTGGTGGATTTTGGAATAGGGTGGTATAAAAATAAAAATAACAAATAATATTAGATCAGTATAGGAAGGTTCAGAGGGTACAGTGTGAACAGGTGATGATTTGATTGACTGGTTTGCAATTGAAACTGGAGTGAAACAGTGATGTGTTTTATCTTCCCTGGGTTTTTGTGAAACAGTGATGTGTTTTATCTTCCCTGGGTTGTTGTGAAACAGTGATGTGTTTTATCTTCCCTGGGTTGTTGTGAAACAGTGATGTGTTTTATCTTCCCTGGGTTGTTGTGAAACAGTGATGTGTTTTATCTTCCCTGGGTTGTTGTGAAACAGTGATGTGTTTTATCTTCCCTGTTTGTTGTGAAACAGTGATGTGTTTTATCTTCCCTGGGTTTTTTTGTTTTTTCTTTTGCATAACCACTGATGGTTGATGAGAAAATGTGTTGGAAACACCAGCGTTGATTCAGTTGAGAACACTCAATTGAAAGATTTTGATTTTGCTGATGATACTCTTCTGCTAATGAAAAACAGTGATGTGCAAACAAAACTGATGATTTAGCAAATATAGCATTAAAAATGTGGACTACAAAGAAGTTTTAAATTGAAGACACCAGTAAGGTATCAGGTAGGTATAATATTAGAGACACAACAAAACAAAGTAGCATATAAGTTTAGATAGTAATCTTGATAGTCAAGGAAATACAAAGACAGACAATTTTGACACACACTGACAAGAAATCAGCAGCCTTCATTATCATGTACAAAACATGTTACTAAATTTTACAGCTTTCAGGCCAAATTACATGTTTTCAGTTCTAATGTTACTTCAGTGTTACCACGTACCAGTGAAAGTTGGAAAACCATTAAGGACGTGGAATAAAAGTTAAATGCGTTTGAAAAAAAATATATATGGAAAATGCTTTATAATTAATCACTGCTAAATTTGTCTGGCTGGTTGGCGATATTTGTATGGCCCCTATTTAGGGTGGGACTGATGTTATGAGTGTCCTGAAAAAATCCTGTTGAGACCCATTTTGACATTAGATTGTTTGGTTTTTCCCCATTAAAGTAAGGTAATGTGAAGAACCTTTTCCGTGCCTTTAGGCATATAGGGCTAGACCTATATTTTTATAGACCAATCGGCCAAGATAGGTGACGAGGTCAGCATCACTCCGGCCACCTTTACTTCCCGGGACTGCATCCGGTACCCACTCAAGGCTGGATCAACCTGGGAACCACGGTCATTTTTTGAAAAAAGTCCGGCTCCTACAGGGAGCAAACCCATGACCTTCCAATCCATTGCGAGTGTCTAGCAGCTCAGCCACAGTGACTCCCTTCTTCCAGTGAACATGTACAAAAAGGCCTTATTCTTATATTCATATAATGGTTTCTACCATAGATTTGCTTTCACCTTTCACAAGTACTTTGTGGAAGCAGTGGCAGGATAACAACTGTATTGTTGTGTTGATTGATATCTGCAGGGTGCCATCTTGACAACTATGCTTGCAACTAGAAATTTCTCAAGTAAGTACTTCCATGTTTGTCCACACACCAGTCGTCATACAAAATAAAACGATAAGGAGAATAGACAAACTGGTATCTTTTCTTTGTGACTAGTGTTGATAGTTCTTTTTTTTTTTTTTTTGAGAGTGTTAGCTGTGCATTTTTATTTTTTTAGATCAGCATTATTTCCAAACATTAATTTCATTTAAACTATTTTCTCTCATTTCAGTGTATTATGTTTTGTTTATTTGATTTTTATTTTAAAGTGTTATGTTTAACCTGTAATTTTATGTTTTGTTTATTTGATTTTTATTTTAAAGTGTTATGTTTAACCTGTAATTTTATGTTTTGACTTACACTAAACACATTTGAGTCTTTGATTTTCACGATTTTTTTTTTTAAACAGCCATTATCTTATTTTATTTCATTGTTTTACTTTTAAAATCAAAGTAGTTTATGATCTTGAAATAACAAAAAAATTAGATGCAAAAATACAATTAACCAAATGACAAATACTATAACATTTCAAAAAGGTAGCTAAACATTAAATCATATTACTAAACAACCAACTTGAATATCAGTAACCTGTATTAGCTGAAATATTGTCAGATAGTTGTTTCACATGGTATACAATTCACAATAAAGATATCACAACTAATTTTGCTCTGTAATCTTAGCTGTAAAAGGTTATGGTAAGTTCTATGCTACAAAAGCCATCAGAGGCTTATTGTGCTGATTTCTGATGGATCTACTACTGCTCTGTTCTGCAAGTGCTATGTTATTTGTATTTCTGCCAGCAAATCTGTATCTGCAAAAATTGATTGGGGCTCTACATCATGTGTGGACACAATGTTTAATGCTGGACCTCAGTGGTTGTCATTGTTGTATCTGTGTACCGCTTGTAACATAAGGGCATGTTGGTTACTTGTAACATAAAGTAAAGTAAAGGTCCCTTTGCCATGCTTTCAGGCGTATTTGGCATATAGGGCTAGACCTATATTCTATAGACTAGTTGGCACTTGGATGGTGACGTGGTCAGCATCACACCGACCGCATTTATTTCTATGGACTGCAGTTTGTACCCACTCAAAGCTGGGTCGACCTGAGAGGCACTGTCATTTACACACAAAAAAGTCTGGTTCCATCAGGGCCAGAACCCATGACATTCCGATCCCCCATCAAGCATCTAGCTGCCACACCATGACGGCTCTCTGTTACTTAAAGGAGAAGCTGTTTACTATTAATGGATTTAATAATGGTGAGGTTCATTAATGTTCGCTGGTAGTAGCATAAAATGCAGGTTGGTTGCAGTTAGTTCCTTAAGGGCAGGACTCATTTCTGTTAATGGGTTATAGCTCAAACGCCAGGTTGGCAGGTTATAGCATAAACTCTAGATCAGCATCTTTTAGTGAGTTATAGCATAAGCTCTAGATCAGCTACTTTCAATGAGTTATAGCATCACCTCTAGATCAGCTACTTTTAATGAGTTATAGCATCACCTCTAGATCAGCTACTTTTAATGAGTTTAGGATAACCTTTGGATCAGCTACCTTTAGTGAGTTATATAGCATAAACTCTAGATCAGCTACTTTTAATGAGTTATAGCATAATCTTTGGATCAGCTACCTTTAGTGAGTTATATAGCATAAACTCTAGATCAGCTACTTTTAATGAGTTATAGCATAAACTCTAGATCAGCTACTTTTAATGAGTTATATAGCATAAACTCTATATCAGCTACTTTTAATGAGTTATAGCATCACCTCTAGATCATCAGCTACTTTTAATGAGTTATAGAATAAACTCCAGGTTGTTTTACTATTAATGGGATACAGCAAACTCCAGGTTGGCTTGTAAGTTACAGCTTGAGAGTCAAGTTAAAGATCAAGACTGTTGGTAAACCGCCTGTGATGATTATTTGAATACTGAAAATAAAATGCAGTTACAAGAAATAATTTATGTAATTGTACAAGAAAAGTAAAAACAAAGTTTATGATATTCAGATATAATCTGAGATAATATTTATTGTATCCAAGCATTATGAGCAGTATAATTTATGTCCAGGCATAATCAGAGATAAAATTAATGTAATATAAACATAATCAGAGATTAAATGTGTATTTAAACTCAGTTAGAAATTGCATTAATTTAAAGTTAATAAAAATGGTTTTTAATTTGGTTAATCACTCATTCGGTTCTGTTTAAATATTTAAAGGCATCTGTTGAAGTTTCTGTTATATAAATTGTGTTCACTGATTTAAATTTTTTTTTTTTTTTTCAATTTTGCTTTGTTCTATTTTTTAAACAGTAAAATTGGTTCTGCTTCAT